CTCAGGAAACTATTCACTCTGATTCCCGCCCCAAGGTCTCTCCTTGGCATTCAGGTGTGGGTTTCCCTCTCTGTGAAATAAATGGCTTTGCTTCAAATCTCCTTTCTGCTGTGTTCAGTGGAGTTCTGCAAACCAAGTCGAGTGTGATAGCATCTTTCATATTTCCAGTGACCAGATGGTCTCTCCCTAGTGACTAATGTCAATCACCACTCCCCTGAGATCCAATTTTAATGAAGAATCAGCCAAAGGAGTCTTCCACTTAACCTACAATAACATTCAATTCCAGTAAAGCCTGGGAGAGGAAAACGGGCTAAGAACTGTCCCTCTGCTAACTCTGGGTAACCTCAAAAAGCTCTGCTTCTGCCAAGCTGGCGTGGCTCAGTGGTTGAGCGTTGAGCTATAAACCAGGAGGTCACAGTTCAATTCCCAGTCAGGGCACATGCCTGGGTTGCAGGCTTGATCCCCAGTGTGGGGTGTGATTCTCTCTCATCATTGATATTTCTATCTCTCTCTCCCTCTCCCTTCCTCTCTATCAATAAAAATATATTTTTTATTTTATTTTTTTTATATATATTTTATTGATTTTTTACAGAGAGGAAGGGAGAGAGATAGAGAGTTCGAACTCAGGTAATTCAATATTCCTATTTATAGGACCAATTTCGGACCTTTCAGTCCGCAGGCTGTGTGTGTGTGTGTGTGTAACCGGTTTTGGCAATAAAAATATATTAAAAAAATCTCTACTTCTTTCAGAGCAAATTCTTGTGATGGGCTAATTTATTATAGAAACCACTTTTCCCCCTGAACTCAGGTAATTCGATATTCCTATTTATAGGACCAACCTCCAAATTGTGTGTGTGTGTGTGTGTGTGTGTGTGTGTGTAATAAAGAAGTCATTTATCACAGTTGAACCAAGGTAGAAGGGTTATATTTATTCAATAAGCATTTTTTGAGAACCTACTATGTGCCAGACCTGTTCTAGGTGCTGAGGAAAAAGTTGTGAAATATCAATGAAATAGCTAAGAAGTTATCATGAAATATTCAGCATTGGAAAAAGGGGTTAGAAAGCCAAAGAAAATTATACATATGAAAGAAAACTGAGGCAAGGGAAACACAAAGTAGCTTTGGTGACCTGGGGAGGTGACCAAGAGGCACAGTTTCTGAATTTCTCATCGTCAGTCAGAGGTCACCAAAGCTACTTTGTATTTCCCTTCCCTTCAGCTCTTGTGAAATGATTGGGTTGTATCAGCAGCAATTTTAAACAACAGTAAACAAAGTTCATCCTTTAAAACCAAATCCTAGAAAGTAAGCTAATGAGAGAATAAACAAAGAAGGCTTCTGTCCCTACATATAAGAACTAGCTTCTCTTTATCAGGAGTGGTTTAAATGAAAATAGAGGAAAATTGTTTAATAGGAAATATTGAAAAGTGCTACTTTTAATCTTTTATAAACTTTAATTTTTAGTGTGGTATAATTGACATATAACATTATTTTAGTTTCGGCTGTACAACATAATGATTCAATATAAGACTATATTGTGAAATCATCAACAAAATTTTTCATTTTCTGTGATGAGATCTTTTAAGATCCACTCTCTTAGCAACTTTCCAATCTACAATAGAATATTATTAACTACAGTGACCATGCTATACATTACATTCCCCAGGACTTATTTATTTTATAACTGGAATTCTTTACCTTTTGACCACCTTTACCCATTTTGCCCACCCCCACCTCATGCAACCACCAGTCTGTTCTCTTTATCAGTTCATTTATTTTTTATTTTTTAGGTCCCATATAAGATCATATATTATCTGTATGACTTATTTCACTTTTCATAATGCCCTTAAGGGTCCATCCATGTGGTCATAGATGGTAAGATTTCCTTCTTTATTTGATTTAAATATATTTTTATTGATTTCAGAGAGGAAGGGAGAGGGAGAGATAGAAACATCCGTGAGAGAGAATCGTTGATTGGCTGCCTCCTGCACGCCCTCTACTGGGGATTGGGCCAGCAACCAGGGCATGTGCCTTAACCAGGAATCAAACCTGTGACCTCCTATTTCATAGGTCAACACTCAACCACTGAGCATGGCCGGCCAAGATTTCCTTATTTTTGATGATGGAATAATATATATATATAATTATATCTCCCACATTTTCTTTATCCACTCACCCATTCAGGAACACTTAGGTTATCCCATGCCTTGGGCATTTTAAATAATGTTGCAATGAACATGAGGTGCAGGTATCTTTTTGAGTTAAGTTTTTTTAATTTCCTTCGGATAAATACCAAGAAGTGGAATTACTTGATCATATGGTAGTTCTTTTAATTTTTTGCAAAACTTCCATCCCGTTACCAACAGTGCACAAAGGTTCCCTTTTCTCCACATCCTTGCCACACTTATTTTTCATCTTTTTGATAAAAGCCATTCTAACAGGTGTGGGGTAGTATCTCATTGTGGTTTTGATTTGCATTTCTTCTTTGAAAAAAGAACCTTTATTCAGATCCTCTTTCCATTTTTTAATCAGATTGTGTGTGTGTGTGTGTGTGTGTGTGTGTGTGTGTGTGTGTGTTTTACTACTGAGTTATACGAGTTCTTTATATATTTTGGATATTAACCCCTTCTCTGGTATATGAGACGTGCACATATTTTCTTCCATTCCATACGTTGCCTTTTCGTTTTGTGGCTGGTTTCTTTTGCTGCACAGAAGCTTGTCAGTTTGATGTAGTCCCACTCATTTTTGCTGTTGTTGCCTTTGTTTTTGGTTGGTGTCAAATCCAAAGTATCATCGCCAAGACCAATGTCAGGGAGATCACTCCGTATGTTTCTTCTAGTTTTATGATTTCAGGTCTTACGTTCAAATCATTAATCCACTTTGAGCTAATTTTTGTGTGTGATGCAAGAAAGTGATCCAGTTTCTTTCTTTTGCGTGCGTGTGGCTGTCCAGTTTTCTCAAAACCAGTTGTTGAAGAGATTATCCTTTTCCCATCATACATTCTCGGCTCTTCTGTCATAAATAAATTGACCATGTGTGCATAGGTTTACTTCTGGGTTCTCTATTCTGTTCCATTCACCTGAGTGCCTAGCAAAGTGCTATACATTTTAGCGATTTTATAGTGTGAGTTCTACAATACTTTCCCTGAGAATCAGCTAATAGTTTGATTTCTTGACATTTTTCTGTTCCTTGCTAAACTCTCAGCAATTCCCTGATGCTGTGGTTGTGAGGAATTTTATTGATAATGAGAAGAAAGATCTTGTATTAGAAGAAATGTATTTTAGTGAATTACTTTGAAGGTTGAAGACAAATACTTAAATGTCATCTCTTAAAAATCTCTTATTGTGTACTGTGCAGGTGTTACTATTTTACCGTCTTTATGCATCATTGTATACACCCAGGAATTAATTCATTTCAGGAATACGTTGGACAATGGCAATAGTAGTCCATTTGGACTAACAACTTCTTTAGGATATTCCAGTCCTGCCACGTTATTTTTCCTTCTACCACGAGAAATATATGCATTAATATTTCCAGAATAGTGGACATTTCTAGCATATTGCTATTTGGTCCCTGGTGTTGGCAATCTTAAGTATTTTCAACCCTGAGTGCCAGCCTACTAAGGGACAGGAAACTCTGGTTCTGGGAAACTTGGGCAAATGCACATGTGACATCTTTTACAAAAAGTGTCATTTCCTTTTTCTTGAAATTAGCACATCCCATCTTCCTGAGGACTGGTAAAGGAAAAAGCGCTTTTGAACCCTCCGGGATTAGACAATTTACACACAGACTCCCACATTCACAGACTGGCATCCTCCCTCTCTGGCTTACTTTCTGACTTTCAAATTTGCATCCCAGGGCGGGTAAGTGTAAGAGTAGGTTGAAGTGTCAGCTTTGCGGGGCTGGAAGCATCTCTGGCAGTGAGCGTGCTGTAAGTGATTGAGAAATCCCTCTTAGGACTGGTGCTTCCCCCCTGGGGCCAGGACTCTCCTCTGGCATTCGCCCCCACCCCCCATATCTCTAACCCCTCCCCCAACCGGGCAGTCCGAGCGCCAAAGTCCCCGCCCCCTCTGGCTGCCAGGAGTGGTTCTTAACCTTTTTTGGGTCGGGACCTACCGAAAGCCATGGGCCCTCTCAGAATGGGACGAGAGTCTAGGGAAATCACAGCTAGAAAGTTTTTCGACACTTTCAGGAGGCCAAGGACTTGAAACACACCCCCCCCCAAACTGTAAGATTAGGAACCCCATCCCTAAAATTCCTCACTTAGATTAGATAACAAATCTCATCCCCAGAGAGACTAAGAAGGGAAGGCGCTTCTGCACTGGGCCACTTTCACTTGTAAGAAACCAAAAAGAAAGGGTTTGGAGAAGAGAAGCGGAAGGAGGAAACCGGGGAGGAGAGAAGAGGAAGAGGACTGTAGCCAAAAGATGGGAACAGACGAGAGATAAAAAGAAGAGGAAAGCCAGAAATACGGGGAATCAGACGGGTGCAGTGGGAGGAGGAGGAGAGACCACGGAGGGGGTGGGGTGGAGGAAGGCCGATTCCGAGCGGCCTGGAGAGCGAGCGCGGAGGAGAGAGGAGATTGGAAGGGGACGGAAAGCAGGGAGGCGAGAGGGCAGAGGAAACGAGAGACCGAGAGACTCGGAGAGGGACTGCGAGCTCCTGGAAAGAGAGCCCGCAATCAGCTCTCTCCCCCGGGGCGGGGAGTCCCAGAAAAGCTCATCTCCACGAGGCGGCCAAGACCGCGACCCGCAGCCTCCGCGCTCCCGGCGCCTCTGGCCGCCGCCTCCCGAAGCCGGAGGCCGGGAGCCCGGGAGTCCCGCACTGGCCGGGCAGGCACCGTCCGCCGTCTGGAAGGAGGCGGTCCGCACTCAGCTCGCTTTCCCCTCCCCTCTCCTGGAGGCGGGCACCCGGGGTATTTGAGCGGCGGAGGACCCGCGGCCCCCCCGCCTCCGCCCCCCATTCAAGAAGCCGCTCCGCTATCCGCGCCAGCACAGGGCGCGCGCCGCGCCTCGGAGCGCACGTTCGGCGCTTTCTCCTACACGTTCCCCGGACATTATGCTGCCGAGCGGTGGAGCCGCAGTCCTCCAAGTGCTCCTCCTGCGGCTCCTCCTGCGGCCCGAGCGGCTCAGCTCTCGGCAGGCGGCGGCGTTGCTCAGCCGAGCGCGGACGGGACCCTCGCGGCGGGACCTCAGCGACTCCTAAAGTCAAACATTGGCGGCGGGCGCCGGCCTCCGCGCGCTCTACGCGGCCGCTGCCTCGGGTCGCCGCCGCCGCCAAGGAGGGCAGGAGGGAGGGGGTGAGGGCAGCGGGGGAGGGGTGAGGAGCACCATGCAGTTTGTATCCTGGGCCACACTGCTAACGCTCCTGGTGCGGGACCTGGCCGAGATGGCGAGCCCAGACGCCGCGGCGGCCGTGCGCAAGAACAGGCTGCACCCGAGGCAAGGTAATGAGGCTCCGGCCCCGGGACCCCTCTGCCCCTGTCGCCAGCTCCCCAGCTTCCGCGCCCGGGAGCGGGCACCCCGCAGCGGAAGCCTCTTTCCTTTTCCTAGAAAGAATGATTTCCCGCTTTGCAGCCTCTCCCTTCTTTAGGTCATTCCCAGCCAATTTCCAGAGAGTGACAGTGGGGAAGGAACTTACCCCCACACCCTTTGCTTTTAGCCTGCTTTTCTCCCCTCCCAGTCTCTGTGCCCCAAAGTACCATAACTCAGTAACTGGGGGCAACGGCTAGCAGCATGTTTTATTTTACTGAGGATATTTGTCAGAATCTGAAATTACTTTATGCATTTTGACTTGTTCGTGTTTCTGGCTCCTAAGGGTGTATCCTCAGCGTTTTGCACATTTCCCGGCTCTTCCTAGCACACAGTAGGTGCTCACCAAATATTTGTCCACTGACTGAGGGTGAAGGGGTTGATTCAAATGGGAAAAGAAAACCCGCTGGAAAGCCACTCAGGACAAAGCCCTCCCTCACCTTTATTTTAATTTAAAACTTGCGGAAAACTGAAATCACTGGTTATGTGTCTCTGCTTCTCTCTGCAGTGAAATTATTAGAGTCCCTGAGCGAATACGAAATCGCGTCTCCCGTCCGAGTGAACGCTCTCGGAGAACCCTTTCCCACGAACGTGCACTTCAAAAGAAGGCGACGGAGCATTAACTCTGCCTCTGACCCCTGGCCTGCCTTCGCCTCCTCCTCTTCCTCCGCTACCTCCTCCCGGGCGCATTACCGCCTCTCCGCCTTCGGCCAGCAGTTTCTATTTAATCTCACCGCCCATGCCGGATTTATCGCTCCACAGTTCACTGTCACCCTCCTCGGGGCGCCCGAGGAGAACCAGACAAAGTTTTATTCCGAGGACGAAGCAGAACTCAAGCACTGTTTCTACAAAGGCCACGTCAATACCAAGTCCGAGCACACGGCGGTCATCAGCCTCTGCTCCGGAATGGTGAGTGGGCGCGCGCCCCCTCTCCCCCCGCCCGCTGCGGGAAGGCTTCATTGCCCTCCAGCCCGAGACCCTCACTGCGCGAGTCTCTGCTCCGGCCCGGAGTGTGAGCTGGACGCCTGGAGGCCGAGGTGGCCAGCCCAGAGCGTGCGCTGACACTCGAGAGAGAGGCGAGCACGCGTCCGCCCCCACGGGGTTCTGGAATTTGGGAGCTTTCTAGGGTCCTAACCCTGCTCAGCTGCGCGTTGGAAGTTGGTTCCTACACTCGGCCTCCCAGGAGCCGCTGAGTGTGGGGAGGGCTCGACTCCTTATTGGTGCGCTTGAGTTGGGGGTGTGGGCAGAGGATCCCCAGGCTTGGGTGCGGGGAGTTCCCTCTGTGTATCGCGGAGGGCGGTGCGTAATCTAGAGTCCCCGCGTTCTCCCCTGCCTTTCTTCACGCGCCAGGAGCCCGGAGGCTAACCGGATTGACAGGGAACAGGTCCCGTCCCGGAACGGAAGGGTGGGCCCAGCGCTCGGGGGCGGGGAGAAGGCGGCGCCTGCCTCGGACGCTGAATTGGGGAGGAAATGGGTAGTGGGGTGCGGCGCAGTCCGACTCTGCGCCCTAGCGGTGGGGTGGCTCGTAGAAGCAGAGACATTGCGGGAGAGCCCGGAGAGGCGGAGATGTCAGTTCTTTTGGGGCTTCTGTCACCCCTTGGAGTTTCCCTAGAATCAGAAAGGGAGCCTGCGGCGCACGTTTCCCTAGAGAGGGAGGGCGCGAGGGCGGGGCGGCCACCTCCCTGCGCAGCAAAGTATAGACTTAGCCTGGGATCCAAGCTGGTATCCTGCCCGCTCCCATCCCCCAGGCTTACAACCCCCGCGCCCAACTTGCCCTTCAGGAGGTCCTACACGGCATCATCCCCCCCACCCCCCACCCCCGTGACATTTGAGGACCCGCAGTAAGATTCTGGCCCGACTGATAGCAGCCTTGACTTTTTCAAGCGACATGCGTTGCTGCCACGCGCGTGTGACGCAGAAACTTTCCCGGGTCAGGCTCTCCTAGCGCAGGGCGCCCGGTGCTGCGTTAGTCTTCCCCTAAGCACCCCCACGCCCACTGTCACCTTTAAAGTGGGGACATGGATACTTACCGGGGTGCTCGGCTGACCCCTCCACGCGCTGCTGCTGCTGTTCGGAGAGTCCAGAGATCCCCGTGGGGATGTCGCATCCATCTCCGCCGCTCAGCGGAGGGACGGGTCGGGAGGCGAGCCAGGCAAACCTGATGACTGGGAGCGGGCAGGTTAAGCCTCTGGGATGCGGGCATCAGGATGAGCCCCTTGAGCCCCCAGCAGAGAGCCGCGGCCGGACGTGGAGACTGGGGTGGGCGGAGACGGCAGTTTGGCGAAGGCAGAGGGGGTGCTGGTGAGTCATCGCTGCCTCCAGACCTAGGTAGGGCTAGAGCCCAGGAATCCCTTCTGTTCCTCGAAAGGTTCCAGCCGGCCGGTGTGGGCATAAGCCGGGTGCCGGAGCAAGGGTATCAGAGCACCTGCAGATTCCAAGACCGTAACCCCGAATTTCAGAACCTAACGGGTCGGGCTGCGTCTGTACGTCAAGTTTGTAAACAGCCTTTACTCCTCCCCTTCCCCGCCTCCACACCCCGCTGAGTGGCCCCTGCGGTTGTATGAATATTTTGCTGCGCAGGACCTTCATTTCTATTGGCAGTTTTAGGCAGCCACTCGCACGTGGAACTGCAAGAGGTAACTCTTAGGCCACTGAGGACAGTTCTTCAGAAACGATGCCTAGACTCTGATAAGCCTATTGATATTGCATTTAATTTGCAAGCGGCCTCTTTTGGAGGAAGGGGGCAGTTCTAACATACATCCTAAATATATGCACACGTCAGTGATCTATCCCCCAAACCCTCGCCCCTTTGTCTTCCTTCTGAAACGTATCTTTCTCCGCCTCCCTACCCCTCCAACCTCCCCCTCTCCCCCCAGACTTCCCCTTACCATTTTTTGTAGCTGTGGAATTGTGGTGTTCCCAGTGGCCTAAAAGCCCCCAGGAAATCTTTCACTCTTCAGGGTGGACCATGCTATTTCTGCCTCCCCCCATCACCACACACACACACACACACACACACACACACACACACACACACCTCACTAGTAAAGTATCAGTTTCCCTGAATTCCATCTCTTACCTTTTCTGAGCATCCCTACCCTAACTCTAGCCCTCTTCACTTCTCTGCTCATTGGGACTGATGTCTAAGAAATATTTGTCTCTGGCTTTTCCTCCAGACTCTTCTCTCTTAAGCTCTGCCACTAACAAATGAATGATCACCGGTGCAAGGCCACATGGTTCCCGGCTCACCAGCTCTGCACAGCGCATGCCCAGTCACAACTGTGAACTCCGTCTGGTCCTTGAGACCATTTGCAGTGCTTCTCACCCCTCTCAGGCCGGCAGGTCCGGGGCATCTCTCAAGCTTTCCTCGACAAGGCCTGAATTTCAGGCAACCTGCTTTTGCTTCTTTTACTGAATTTCCCTTCTATCCTAATCCTGTCTCATTGCCCTTGGGCCTCCAGACTTATTTGTTCATCTCACCCAGCTTCACATGCTCAAATCATGCCCTTCTTTTGAAGTGTAACTTAAATGTAACTTAGATATCTTTCTTCCCAGGAAACATGTTCCTGGTCCTATGGACTGCTGTCATGTCTCCCTCTTCACCTTCATAGATGCATATGTGTATGTGTATTTCTCTTATGGTTCTTCTGTTTGCTCCCTTGTATTATAATTATAGTTCTTAGTAGGTATGTTCTGTCCCTTTCTCTTTGGCAGCAGGATCAACATCAATTCATTTCTCTTCCATATTGGAGCCTTAGATATTATAGGTACCCTAGAGACCCGGTGCACAAAATTCACGCACAGTGGGGTGGAGGAGGGGGGTCCCTCAGCCTGGCCTGTGTTCTCTTGCAGTCCAGGGCTCTCGCAGTCCAGGACCCCATACTCCTTACTGCCCTCCTGCAGCAGGGGTGGGAGAGGCTCCCGCCACCACCGCTGTGTTCGCCAGTCGTGAGCCCGGCTTCTGGCTAAGCAGCGCTCCCCTGTGGGAGCACACTGACCACCAGGGGGCAGCTCCTGCATTGAGCGTCTGCCCCCTGGTGGTCAGTGCATGTCATAGCGACCCGTCATTCCGCCGTTTGGTTGATTTGCATATTAGGGTTTTATTATATAGGATACCCTGTATGTTTGAATAAATGTTCACCTTGACCAAGAAAGAATTACTCTTAGATCAAGCGTTTACTTGTGAATCAACAACAAAATTAATTTGGCACTATATGGGCACCATTTATTGAACTCTCATGATGTGCTTTGCCTTATAATGAGTACTTTATGTATGAATTATCTCATACAGAACCCTCACACAATCCAATCCTCAACTCATTTTACAGATGGGGACAGTGAGGCTTTGAGAGTTGGAGGCTTGCTCGAAGTCTCACACTCCTAAGTGGCACAGCTGGGGTTCCCACCCAGTCTTTCTGACCCATGCATTTAGCCACTCAGAGACTAAATCCATATTCCTAAAGAGAATTTAATTTAAAAAGGCACTGCACTGCCCTGGCCAGCGTCACCCCATGCACCAAAAGGTGTGGGTTTGATCCCTGGTCAGGGCACATTCCTAGGTTGCAGGCTCCATCCCTGCTCGGGGTGCATACAGGAGGCAACTGATCAATGTTTCTCTCTCGTATCCATGTTTCTTTCTCTCTCACTCTCTCTTTCTAAGCATCAATAAAAACATGTCCTTGGGTGAGGATTTAAAAATAACAGTAAAGATAAAATAAAAAAGGCACTGGATTGAAGTTGGGATACCTGAGTTCTAGATTTGGCACTGGCTCTGTTCAGCTGCTCTGTATCACCAAAGGGCAACTGCAGACCAGCCACTTTCTCCCTCGGCTTCCCTTTTCACCAGAGGAGCCAGACCCTTTCCAGATGAACTCCCAGGTTTTCCCCAGTACTTACGGTCTCTCTCTAGTAGGTTTTACATCCTGCACTGTGTTCAGAGAACACCAGAGTTGAGTATTGGAAACAGAGAGAGCTGCCTGGGTGAGAATAAAGTTGTTAAATCACTTCGCCAAAAACCAGCTACTCTTTTGCCTGCTCTGTGCACACCAGAGCTGTTCCGTCGTTGAGCTAGTGGCCTCTAAATCATGTAGAGCACTTTTTAAAAAACATAGATGCTAGACCTTACCCCTGGAAATTCAATTTGCAGATAAGGGGTAATGCCCCAAATCTGAATTTTTAAAAAACTTCCCAAACAATTTTGAATCTTAGCTGGGTTTGGAACCTGTCCTAGCCTAATGCTCCACAAACTTTATCGTGCATAAGAATACCATGGAGTGCTCATTAAAATTCCAACTCCTGCCCTGCCCTGAGATTTTGATTCAGTGGGTCAGATTTGGGGTGGAGCGTGATTATTTGAATTTCTAGCAAATTTCTGGATGATGCTTATAACCTTTATGGACAGTCATTTCCTTGTGTCCAGGGAAAGGTAAAAGGTCTTCTTTTCCTTTACTTTTTCTTTTTCTCCTTTTTTTTCTCCCCCAGTGCAGGAAAGGGAACAATGGAAAATGAGAGAAGGGTTTGACTCCTCTAACACATTGCACGACATGGGGAACTTTTTCATGCTCTTGTAATGTTTTGTTTGGGTGGGTCAACCTTGAGGCATCATTCGTCATTTGCAAAACTGTGGGTATGTGAGAAGGAGAGGAGAAAGAGTTGCCACTTTCAAAGTGCTTAGAATGATTGGCAAACACAACTGTATCCTGGCGGTTAGAGGCTAACACCACACCACCAAAAGCCACTAATATGTTCTAAGCCCTTACAAGGTACTAAGTACATTAAGTGCATTATCTCATTTAATCTGCAGGATAATCCTTTATAGTAAGTTTATCCCTAATTGACGAACAAGGAAGCTGAGGTTCAGCATTTAAGGAACTTACCCAAGATGGGTGGCAAGATGGGTGGGTAAGAGGCTGTGCTGCGACTGGGACCTGTGCTGGGCAGCCCGGCCCCAAAGCCTGGTACTGAATCACTGCCTGTTGCAAAGGGAAGGGTGGGAGAGACTCAGGGGCTAGTGTCACAGGTGGCACCACCTTGAGTGCCTTGTGGTCAACATAGGCTTCCTGAATTTGAAGTCATGATAATGCTTCCATGGGTCAGCTTTTCTCTCAGAGCTCACACGGGTCCCTAAATTTCCAGCTGTCTTCACACAGAGAAACACTGTCAACAGCCTGGAGAAGGGAATATGTGATTAGAACTTGAGCACCAAGGAAGTATTCCTTAGAGACGGATTTGGTGAGCAGAAACAATAGTGTCAAGTCAAGGAGAAGGTACTGGTATGGCTGAGAGTGAAAATAAATCGCTCTCCAAGTGTGTCCGCAGCATTTTGGCTTTAAGCAGCCCTCGTGACAAAGGGATTGGGTCAAATGGCACCGTCTCCACTTTCAAATGTTTCATCTTTATGAAATCAACCTCTCATCTCTTCCTTTGCAGCTGGGCACATTCCGGTCCCAGGATGGGGATTATTTTATTGAGCCACTGCTGTCCATGGATGAACCAGAAGATGAAGATGAACAAAACAAACCCCACGTTATCTACAGGCTCAGCACCGCCCAGGAAGAGCCCTCCACAGAAAGGCACGCGTGCGACACCTCAGGTATTCGTGTCTTCCTTCAGCAGGGATCCCACCCCTGTGATGGGTCATTGCCCTGCTGCAGACAGGTAGCTCTTTCATAGGCTAAAAGCACTACCCTGGTCATTGTCTTTTATTTGATCTTCCAGTGAGGTTGGAATTGTACAGACATGAAAGCTAAAAAGATCCTTAGCACCTTGTTCCAGGTGGCACAGCTAGTAAGTGACAAGGCCAGGATTCACACTCAAACAGCAGTGACTCCAAGCCCACTCTGGGCAGAGCTGCCTCTTTCGTTGAAGTTGCTAATATGACTAAGCTTAGTAACGTCCTAGGCCAGTGGTCGCCAAGCTTTTGGACCTCACGGATCACCAGTGGTCTGCGGACCACCGGTTGGCGACCACTGTCTTAGGCTATTAGAGCCATATCTTCAGTCAGCAATTGCTTATGTTTCTTGTTTTCTATTTCTTTATTTTATCATGTAAGGTTACAAATGGAACTCAAAAGCTATGTTTCTTGGGATTTTTCCTATCAGCTTCAGCTTAGCTCATGTTCTGTGGCTTCAGGAATATGTGACTGGAAGTGTGGGTCGCACGGTCGGGTTTCTCTCAGATGCATCTGTGCCCACAGCTGGATCCTGGCCAGGTGCACTGAGGCTGCATGCTGCCGGTGAGCTGGGCAGCATTCTCCCCGCACTGGACCTGGCAGAGATGCTGAGCCCACTGACGATCTCACAGCTAGACCATAAGGAAAACCCTTGTTTGCCTGTCTTATTCCATGGTTCGTTTTCTCTGTGCATGGTTCGTTTTCTCTGTGCAGGGGTGTGTGTGTGTGTGTGTGTGTGTGTGTGTGTGAGAGAGAGAGAGAGAGAGAGAGAGAGAGAGAGAGAGAGAGAGAGAAAAGGAGAAGACTTAATAATGCCTTTCAAAATACCCTCAAGGTTTATTTTTAAATTAACTACCCAAGTGGATTGATTTTCTGGGCTAGAGGACAAGTTATTGTCAAATCTTATTTAAACATAAAGAAGAGGGAATCTAAAAAGGTGAAGATCGAGGACAGTGGAAGATGGCTTACTTTTTCACAAAAGCTTATTTGGTTCTGGGCATTGTTGCTTTGGGGCCTTTAAGGGCCACATTTCAGATCACCACGGCCAGCCTTTATTTTTCCTTCTGACTTTGGCTTGTCAGTGACCGGTGTGGTGGGCCCTTCCTTCATTCCAGCAGCTTTGACTGTTCCTCCAAAGGTTGCTGCTGAACTCGCCACTCTGGTTTCTCTCCTCCAGCTGCTCCTGCACCCCTTCTTTCAGCTCAGATGCAGGGGCTCACAATAGTTGGAAAGAACTTTGGAGTATGGCACAGTTGCCAGCTGCCATTAGAGAGATGGGCCAGCAGGTCATGGCAACCTCCAAAACCAGGCAGCCTTCGCACAGGGAGTGAAAATAGGTGGGGGTGGGAGAAGACCCTCTGGCCAGAGAGGAAAACATCCTCTCAGTAAATATCGACCCATTTAGATTCAGGGATGCCCCCCCAAGATCACTGAGTGGTAACCAAGAGTAACCAAGTGGCCTGCCTGTGGAGCCATTCAGGAACCTTTGCTCTTTTGTAAGCCCCTTTCTGCCCATCCTTCCCTTTGCATTTCCAGATGAAACCCCAGGTTCTGTCACATGGACACTCTCTATTTGACCCTGAACTTTGCACAAGGGGATGTAGTTGTCCTTATCAGTGAGATAGACGTGCTTTCTGATAGGTGAGTGAAAGGCAGGGAGTGGGCCAACAGGAAAAGGATTGTCTTGTTTGCCTGGGCGTAGAAGACAGTGTTTATCTGTTGCTAAAATACCTCTCTCACCCTCCCATCTCAGCAAGGCCAGCTGTTTTTGTTTCTTAAGGCATTTAGGAATTACACACTTATTAACCCACCAATGCCACTTCTGTGGAAATAATCGGACAATTGTGTAAGGTATTTCTGGGAGAATACTCAGTACAGGGTTGTTTATTATAGAAAAACGCTGGAAACAACCTGAGTGCCCAGGGGTGGGGGGTGAGGTATGCAGGTGATGGATTCCTATGCAGCTATTAAAAATGATGGCAGAGATGTATGTTAACAAACACAGAAATATGTATAGTATGTGAACAGGCAGTGATGATTCAGTGTATATGGTATGATTTCATTTTCTTAAATAATGAAGTGTGTGTGGGTGCATGGGGGTGTAGAGAAAAAATCTGAAGCAATATGCATGGAAATATTAAAAGAAATTATTTCTGTTTGGCAGGATCAGAGGCAGTCTTTTATGTTCTTATATTTTTGCCATGATTCTGTAGCAGTTTCATAATCAGAAAACGGAGTTTGAAAAGAAATGGGGGTGGGGGCATGTAGTTATTGTGTAACCCCATAGCACTTGTCACCAGGGACCAACAGCCAAGCCAAGATCCTATGCTCACTTGCTTGCCTTTTCTTTTTCTGTTTGGGAATGAGAGAGTTTCGATGCCACACAGATAGAAATCCTGCTTTGTAGCTACTTCTTTGGAGCACTGGGCTAGTCAGAGCTGAGGGTCCCTCTCCACCTCACTAAATTCCTGGTACCCATTGGACTGACCTGGGGATCACCATGGTTTAGTCTCCATCAGGGATTGCGGACCTGTCACCCCATTAGAATGTACTGTCACTTTTTGGTTAGGCTCCCACGGGTATGATCATAAAGGCGGAAAAATATTAAGATGATAATTAAAGTCATCATTTGTTGGTCTCATAGTATGCGCATGTGGGGGTCTCAGTGCTACCCATGTTCCATACATTATCATATGTAATCCATTCATCAACACTGCAGGGTAGGTATTATTATCCTTATTTTACTGTTGAGAAAATGACAGCGCTAAAGTCACACAGCTGGTAGGAAGTGGGCTGACTTGAGCCCGGGTCAGATCCCAATGTGGTCCACTGTGGGCCAGATTACCCTGAAAACAATGGAAGAAGCTGCCTTTAAAAAATGCTTTTTTACTTAAGATTTCAAAACATCCTTTTTGACTTCCATCTAATCTAACCCCTAAATGACACTAACAATGGCTGACATCTGTTGAGCATGCGTTGTGTGGCAGGCACTCTTACCCATGTTTTATGTGGATTATATGTTTTAATCCTTACCTCCGCCTGGGTTGATTTTGCAGTTGGGAAAATAGAGACACAGAGAAGTCCATAAAGTGGACTGACCCACGGTCACAAAGCTCATAAACATAGCCTTTTGTCCTGGTCTCCTTAGAGCAGCGGTTCTCAACCTGTGGGTCGCAACCCCTTTGGGGGTCGAACGACACTTTCACAGGGGTAGCCTAAGACCATCCGAAAACATATATAATTACATATTGTTTTTGTGATTAATCACTATGCTTTAATTATGTTCAATTTGTAACAATGAAAATACATCCTGCATATCAGATATTTACATTACGATTCACAACAGTAGCAAAATTACAGTTATGAAGTAGCAACGAAAATAATTTTATGGTTGGGGGTCACCACAACATGAGGAACTGTATTAAGGGTTGCGGCATTAGGAAGGTTGAGAACCACTGCCTTAGAGGATTCTTTGGCCGAGATCCCTCTGTTGATTCCATTGTATTCACATATGAATTACCTTTTCTGTAGGAATTTTTAAATGCCTTCCCAGAATTTGATTTGATGTGAGGGGGGCTGCCTGGTGCCCGGAATTCCCACCCAGACTAATGAGTCACCAGGGAGTGTGTCTCCAGCATGCCTCAGTTGGAGGGGAGGCTTGTTACACATTAACCTCTTGAATCCATTAATAATTTAGCATAGATTAGCTGATTAGATTAGCTGCCCTGAGCATTGGGCCCAAATGGAGTGAGAGACAGAGCTGAGGAGCAGACCTCTGAGGGGGCTGTAAGTAAACAATTCTGGGACAGCTGGAGGGTTCCAGGCAGTAATGGAAGCTTTGGCTGACTTCACAGTCCCGGCTGGGCCCCAGCAGGGCAGTGGTTGTTGGCTAATTAGTGATTTCTGTGAGAAGCTAGCCAGCCTCCATTTTCCCACACACGCTCATGCCCTCAGACCCTTCCCCCAGCCCCGGGGCCTGTGCACAGGAGGACAGGCAACAGGAGGGGCCATGGTTGCTTCCTTTACGCCGGGAGCAGCTCGCTGGGGGGCAGGTGCTCCAGTGACTCCCATTTTACAGCTGAGAAGACTGACTGGGAGGGTCAGTGGCCTGCCCGCAGCGTGTACAGGAAGCAGGGGCGCTCCAGCCAGGACTGGCTCAGCGTTCAGGACAGTTCCTGCCATTTGGGGTCTATTGTGTTGACTTAATTTCCTTTCACTTACCCCTCAGCCTTCATACCTTTTTCTCTTTTTTATGTTCCTCAATGACTTGATGATTAATAAACAGTCAATATAAGCAATGGCCTCTAAAAGCCTTAGTAAGTTATTAGAAAACTATTATTTTAAGTAACTGAATTCTTGAGATTATTTCCTCACCTTTATCTTCTTTGTAGCATATATATAAAGATTGCTATTTTTGACATTGGAAGCTATAGTGTAATATGCCAACAAAGTCATTAAAGGATAGAACAAAAGAAACCTCTAATATAGGAATGGTTTCTTCTCTCATCTGTTCTCATTTATTCATTGAATTTTTTATTTTATTTTTTTACTTTTCATCTTGTTTTTTAAAGCATTTTAAAAAGTTAGAGGTGTGGTAAAACAAACATACCCTCTACATTTAACAATGACAAAGCATTTTCCACATTTGCTGCTTAATTTTCCTGTTTTCTAGAGTATTTTAAACTAAACTCAGATATCTTGACATCTTCTCTCTAAATATTCCAATCTACCTGTCTGGAAGATGAAGATATTTTCTTTCTTTTTTTAAAATATATTCTTATTGATTTTAGAGAGGAAGGGAGAGGGAGAGAATCATTGATTGGCTGCCTCCTGGACTACCCCTACTGGGAATCAAGCCTGCAACCCCGGGCATGTGCCCTTGATTGGAATCGAACCTGGGACCTTTCAGTTCTCAGGCCGAC